CTAACAGTAGAATCCAGAGTCTAAAACTAAAGAATGCGCGAATTTTAAGTTCGAGGTTAAAAGTTCTTTTATTTTTTCTCAAAAAACGCGCGCGCGCGCGCACTTTTGCTCAGATTCCTTCAAAACCAAAAAATGCACATAATATACATAATTCTGAGTTTGCATGCAAAAAATCAGCCTCCTACGACAATTCTAAGTTATGTTTAACCACTGTTTAAATTTTCCGGAGAGTAATACGTTTTTTGCCCCCCCCCCTTACGCGAACTTACGCCGTAATTTTGCGAAATGAATATTTCCCCAATTACGCGTAATCCTGGGAAATTACACGAAATGAAAATTATTACGCGTAACTGCTCGTAATTACGCGTAAGAGAATAATCTATTACGTCTGGCGGGCGGAGAATCGAGTATTCTCAGTTTACATAAGTATTGTTGTTTTTTTAGTTTTGGGTATTTTTAAAAAATTTTCCTTACTCATCAACCCATGTAAGGGGAGAAAATTTTTTCTTCAAAACCTTTTTAAGAGGGAAAAGCTTGCAAGGGGAATTTTTCCCCCCAAGCTTAAAAAACTGAGGGGGGATGAAGAATAAAAAACTAAATAATGTAAAATTTTAAAAACGAACAATATTTTTTAACCTAGACTCAGTTGAATTCACACTATCCTTGAAGCTTTCGGGTACAGTCGAACCTTGCTGAATGCAAACGCAACCAGGTTCTCCCAGATCTTTAGCGTACATTACGATCATTCGGGCTCCATTGTATCCGGATCCATCCAGGTAAACCACACAGGATGTTGTTTTTGTTGTATGTTCTTTTTTAATGTTTTTGTATATTATTCTTGGATTGCTGTTGTTGTTGCTTTTTCTTTTTCGTTTTGTTGTTGTTGTTGGTTTTGTCACTGTTGTTATTGTTAATACTGTATTTTTGTTGTTGTTTATTTTGATGTTCTTTTTTCTGTTGTTGTTGTTGTTGTGTGAATTAATAATGTTCATTCATTTTGCCCAAATTTTTATTTTGAATAATCTTTTTTGTTTCTTTATTTTCTTGTGATTTTGAATGGAACTAACATCTACTTTTTTACTCTACAGAGGTTTGGTCCATCACCATAACCGATTTTTACATTTTGTTATTGTACTGTTTATTATCGTTGTCGTTGCTTTTAATATTGTTTTGATTTTTTGTATGTTGTTTTTGTAGTTTTATCTATGTTTTAGTTCTTGTTTTTTGTTGTTCTGTTGTTGTTCTTCTTCTGTATCGTGTTGTTGTTGTTGTTGTTGTTACAATATCTCCTGGTTCAAATGCAAATAATACTCGATCATGTATACGTCAGCGAAATCATTTTTATTTGACATTATTTTTCAAATTATTTTTCAAAATTAAGTGATCTTACAAAATATTTGAACTTTCCCTTTAAGGTGTTGATGTTGGAGCGAAACCGTGTAGTTCGCCGACCTGAAGGAGAACCCAACTTTAATGTGTTCTATCAACTTCTTGCTGGACTAGATAACAATCTTAGAAGGTACAGGGTTACTCACAAAAGATGAAATTGTAAAGACGACCAAAATATCTAAAAGTATGACGATTTGAAGCTTGATTTTTGTTTCTCCTATTAATTAAGTACTTTGATGGTTTACAAAATTATTAAGCACAAACATAAACCAGTGGCCTACTAAAAACTCTGCTAGAAATGCAAGAAAAGGCCGTAAAATCGTCTCCGAAACCTAATCTTTTTTGGGTAACCATGTAAATAATATTAAAATAATCTTGTATTTGTATTGTTTTTAATATATATATTCTGAATATGGATCTAGGTGGATCATTAACACTGTTGATTAGGAATTGACGACTGTATGCAACTTAGCATCAATATATATGAATTTAAATCGTCCACTGGGCATGAAACACAGGCACCAATCCATTTAACTTTGTCAGTTGACTTTCAAGTTAAAAAGAGCTGGGGAATTTTGAATGGCGGATATCGGAGTTAATGCTTGATCCACTCTTTTTCCTAATCTCCAGATTAAATAATGCTATGTTCTCCTCATGTTATTATTCTCCAGATTAACTAACTGATCAGGATTAAGGATATCTCATTTAAAATTTCCCAGCGCTGGTAAAAATGGTTGATATATATCAGCATAAGATTGCTTAAATGTTGTTTCTGTATTCTTAACAATCATGCCAAATATTAAAAGGGGGTATTTTTGTCACTCTTTCTGAATCTGCCAACTCAAGTATGGCCGTTTTTTACACTAAAAACAAAACTCGCAAATATCGAACAAAACAACAATTTTGATTTAGGTCATTAAGAGGTCGTTAGAGGTCAGTAGAACGTAAACACTGGATTCGTTGCTGCAACTGTATTCCTGGGATTCCTAGCTTTCGTTTGATATGCATAAAGCCTTAGTTAAAACATTTTCATTTTTGGAGGTCATTTAGGTCATTAGAGGTCGTAAGAGGTCATTAGAAGGTCAAACACTGGATCTGTTGCTGCTACTGGATTCCCTGGGTTCCTAGCTTTCGTTTGATATGCATTAAGCCATAGTTGAAATATTTTCTATTTGTGGAGGTCATTAGAGGTCATTAAAGGTCAATTTGATTTTATTATAGGAATTTCGAACCCTAATTAGGCGTGCATCCAAAAAATTGGAAGATTTGAACCAAAAATGAAGGCAGGGCCCCCCCCCCCTACATCAAATGTGCCAACTCCACCATCCCCTTTTTAGGAAAATTAAGAAAATGTTGTAACTTAATTTATTATTGTTTTAACCTATTATTACACTAGGGTTTAGTGTTACGTGGCCCTTTCTTACTGGAGACAACAATCCACTGAATCCGGTTGTCAAACAAGGTAGAAGGTAGATTTTCACAACTTTTAGCAATACATTTTGATTTCAATAAACCTTCCACGGGGTCATGATAACACACAAATTTTGGGCACGATCTGTTTAGCCGTTTAAACATTTATTGGATTAAAACAAACAAACAAACAAACACCCTGACAGACAAGATAAGTTGTCCTGATATCGAAAACTCATTCATGCATGGGTTATAAGGACACCTTCAACAAACAACATATGAACCCAAAAATTTATTGATGAATTTGTGAAGCGTTAAAACAAAGACTTTTAACCTGTCAAAAAGATACAATCACTAGTTTCTTAGTAAATATACAGGGACAGGCTATCTGGACACAACTGGTCCTTATGCTTATGCAACTGGTCCTTGCTTATGCGAATTGGTGGACGTTTGATCGCAATATTTGCGCTGTCAGTACCTCAACATTTTTTTAATAGAGATTATAAGGACCTTATAATTTAGTGTTGCACCGAAATACTTTGGTTTTCATAACTGTAACGTCAGAATAACAGTTTGAACAAAAAATTAAGACTGTTATTTATATGATATCTTTGTTGCCACAATAATTAAAAATGATATATTTAATAATAAAGATGAAAAAGAAAACGTTTTAGGCAGTTATTTTGCATATTTTACAATGTTCTCCAATTATTCGGTATACAATTTTAGAAGGAATTACAACCTATAATCAATATTTTTTTGACGCATTCGTATATAGTCGATATTTCAATTTTTTTTATGATTTTACAGCTGCATTTTGAAACATTTATTCCTGTTTCGAGGTTTTTTGATAAGGAAAACGACATTTTCATATTTTCCGGGAATGTTCGTAAATAAAGTTAAAGCTAAATAAAAAATTTTAAAAATAATATCAAGTAAATTTTAATGAATATTTTAAATTTTAAGTTCAAAATCTATCTCAATCATATAGTCTAACGATAAGTAAATACCAATCTTTAAATTGCGGGTCACTTTTATACGTCTAAATACGAATTATGCTGGAATAGAACATTTGATTTGTTTTCCAATTTTCATTATTTCAATTTTCACTTTTATCAGGGTTCTCTATCCTCTCCTAAAGAAGTTCTCTCTTCAGTCGTTCTCTCCAGTATCCTGTGAGTTTATTCCAGGTAAACCTTGCTCTTCAGTATACTGTGAATATATTCAAGGTAAACCTTGTTCTCCAGTATCCTGGAAGTATTCCAGGTAAACATTGTTCTCCAGTATCCTGTGAATATATTCAAGGTAAACATTGTTCTCCAGTATCCTGGGAGTATTCCAGGTAAACCTTGTTCTCCAGTATCCTGGAAGTATTCCAGGTAAACATTGTTCTCCAGTATCCTGGGAGTATTTTAGGTAAACATTGTTCTCCAGTATTCTTTGAGTATTCCAGGTAAACCTTGTTCTCCAGTATCCTGGGAGTATTCCAGGTAAACCTTGTTCTCCAGTAACGTATCCTGGAAGTATTCCAGATAAACCTTGTTCTCCAGTAACGTATCCTGGGAGTATTCCAGGTAAACCTTGTTCTCCAGTATCCTGGGAGTATTCCAGATAAACCTTGTTCTCCAGTAACGTATCCTGGGAGTATTCCAGGTAAACCTTGTTCTCCAGTAACGTATCCTGGGAGTATTCAGGGTAAACCTTGTTTGTAGTATTCTTTGAGTATTCCAGGTAAACCTTGTTCTCCAGTATCCTGGGAGTATTATAGGTAATTTTGGTTTCTCCAGTATCCTGGGAGTATTTTAGGTAAACCTTGTTCTGCCGTAACCTTTGAGTATTCTAGGTAAACCTTGTTCTGCCGTAACCTTTGAGTATTCTAGGTAAACCTTGTTCTCCAGTATCCTGGGAGTATTATAGGTAATTTTGGTTTCTCCAGTATCCTGGTAGGTAAACCTTGTTCTGCCGTAACCTTTGAGTATTCTAGGTAAACCTTGTTCTGCCGTAACCTTTGAGTATTCTAGGTAAACCTTGTTCTCCAGTATCCTGGAAGTATTCCAGGTAAACATTGTTCTCCAGTATCCTGGGAGTATTTTAGGTGAACATTGTTCTCCAGTATTCTTTGAGTATTCTAGGTAAACCTTGTTCTCCAGTATCCTGGGAGTATTCCAAGTAAACCTTGTTCTCAACAGTATCCTGGAAGTGTTCCAGGTAAACATTGTTCTCCAGTAACTTGTGAGTATTCCATGTAAAACTTGTTCTCTTGTATCCTGTGAGTATTCAAGTAAACCTTGTTTGCCAGTATCCTTTGAGTATTCTAGGTAAACCTTGTTCTCCAGTATCCTTTGAGTATTCTAGGTAAGCCTTGTTCTCCAGTATCCTGGGAGTATTCCAGGTAATCATTGTTCTCCAGTATCCTGGGAGTATTCCAGGTAATCATTGTTCTCCAGTATCCTGGGAGTATTCTAGGTAATCATTGTTCTCCAGCATCCTGGGAGTATTCCAGGTAATCATTGTTCTCCAGTATCCTGGGAGTATTCCAGGTAAACATTGTTCTCCAGTATCCTGGGAGTATTCCAGGTAATCATTGTTCTCCAGTATCCTGTGAGTATTCCAGCTAAACCTTGTGTTCAGTGAGTATTCTTAGTAAACCTTCTTCTTCAGTATCCTGTGAGTATTCTTGATAAACATTGGGTCCTCCCGTATTCAGTGAGTATTCTTGGTAAACCTTCTTCAGTATCCCGGGAATATAAGGTCCACCCCATACAGAACATGAAATATAATGCAAAATCGTGTAAGTATTTCAATGTGTATAGGAAAATCTTGACAATTATCTGATCTATTTATCTGGTAAAACGTTTTTTCTGAATCTGATATTTCACTTATATTTTCAACGCTTTTAAGGTGCAACTGTATGTAGTAGAAATAAAAGATCTGAGGTTTTATACGCACTGAATTGTACTGTAAAAGGGAGGGAAGGCAAAGCAACAATGAACCTTGTGTAAAAGTCTCCTTAACCCTGCATAAACAGTCTCACAACCCAATAGAAAACCTCCGAACTCTGTAAGGAGCAAAAAATGTGTTCATGGGGAAATCGCATTGTTTCTCCATTTTTTTCAGCATATGGCACAGGATAAAACACAAGTATTACTAATAAATGCAATTTTGATCTCATTCATGTTTATTTTGTATTCCTATTTTAGGCTAAATTTAAAAAATGGACCTAAACAAGATCCCACATTCTTCACATTTATTTTATTATTTTAATATTATTCTGGCAAATACAATAACATTTTTAATGTAGTCCACCAATTTTTAAATTTCTGTCATTAAAGGGGTTGTTTACTCAATAATATTTTTTTACTGTGTCCCATTTAAAAGTTACCTACGCTATATTAATTATACCCACAAATGTAAGAAATATAAATATCAAAATATAGTGATATTTTGCATTTGCAAGGTGTTCCGCTTTCTCATTTTCTTTTATCATTGTAAAGTTATTCCATTGTAAAGTTATTCTTAATTAAAGATTTATGATCTTTTATTAATTTTATTAAATTAAATACAAAAACCTGTTCTAGCTCCCTTCCTATCTTTCCCCTACCCTTTTGCTGTCACCTTTCCATGCCTTACTCTTTTCAACATTTCCTTTCATTTTTCCCTTTCCTATCCCCTTTTAATCATTTTCCATCTATTCTCCTTTTTTTGGGTCTCCTCACTTCCCTTTCCTGTATTCACTCTCCTGTTCTCATTCACGTTCCCTTCCCCATTCTATTTTCCTTCCCTTTTCCTTCCCCTTTCCCACTTTCCCTTTCCTTTTTTTTGCTCTGTCCACTTTAGCTTCCAATTTCCCCTTGCTCTTTCCCCTTTCCATTCCCTTTCACTTTTTACCCTTTCCTCTATTTCCTTACTATTTCCCTTCCTCTATCCCCTTCCCCATCTCCTTTACCTTAGCCTTTCTCTTTCCCATCCCTTTTCCTTCCCCTTTCCAATCTCCTTTCCCATACCTTTCCCTTTCACCCTCTTTTCCTTTCCTCTTTCTTGTTTTAACCTTTACATTTTACTCACGATTTACTTTTCTTCCCCATCAACTTTCTCCTATCCCTTCCCCTATCAGTCTACCCTTTCAATTTTTTCTTGCCTACCACTTCCCGTACCTATATCCCCTTTCCCTTCTCACATTCCCTTGCCCTTCCTCTTTCACCTTACCCATCCCATTCGCATCCTCTTTTCTTCCACCATCCCCATCCCCATTCAACATACCCTTTCCTTCCTCTTTAACCATTATTTTTCCTTCACTTTTCCCCCTTTCCCGTACCCCTTCTCCCCCTTTCCCTTACCCCTTTTCGTATGAAATGAACCCTGCATAAAACATGTAAACTTGCATACTATTCACTGATTCAGTATGGGGCACGGAGCTCATTTAGCCCCTCCCTCCTGTAGATGTTTATCTTTATCAAAAATTAATTTTCTAATATCAGCAAATTCTTTTAATTTAAAACAGGCAATCAAAGCAAATAAATGATAAGTCTATAAATAGTGTCTTGAAATTCTGACTATCCACCCTTTTTAACTGAAAAATAAATTTATGAAAAAGATGATTAAAACAACCATGAAAGGGTTTTTATAAATTCATATTATATTTATTGATTCTTTATGTCGAGAAAATTCTATAAGTATTGCTAGTAGTCAAGTAATCCTAATTTTTGATAATTGTTTTGTAAAAAAAAGCTTTTCCACCGGGTTCAAACACTTTTTATAGGGTTCGGAGACCTTTCTACAGGATATGGAGATTTTCCAAGGGTTCATTGCCGCTTTGCCATCCTCCCGTCACTTAAACATGAGGATAAGCAAAATACAACTTAAAAATGGTTTCTTCCTGTAGAGTATACTGCAATCTTCACAGAACTCTCGTTTCTAGTCCTGGGGGCAGTGCTTAGGATCCAATTAATTTTGATGCTGATCCTGGTTCCGCACTGGGAAAAAATGTATCTGAATTTTCTAATTTTTTGTCTTTTGTTCTCTCATTTTTATGCTAAAACTTGATGAACCATTAAGAAATCAGGAAATTTTTAAAATCTCTTTTTTAATAGTTCAGATTTGGGATTTTTTGCAGTTTTTGGTTGATACTTTGCCAATTGGATCTGGATCCGTGGATCCGCATAATTTTGCAGATTCGCATATTTTCGCAGGAAGCCAAAATATTGCGGAGCCAACGGATCCAGATCCGCATCCTAAGCACTGCCTGGGGAATTCCAATGTTGTACAAGAAACTCCAGAACTGCAGGGCCATTTAATTTAAAATTCAAATTTTTTAATTTTAATAGAATTTTGTTTTAGATTGAACAATTCATGCCGGTGTGTATATGCACTGTCGTACTGTCCAGTCAGGCTAACCAGCGTAGAGTCGACCGAGCACGTTTAGTGCAACAAATGTACCCTGGCAAGATCACAGCTTACATTAGCATTCTTTTTATGTAAAAGAGATGCAGACTGATTTATAATGAAATGTATTTCGTAAGGTTATATAGAAAAGCATAATTATATTTAGATACATGTTTTTTATTATTTTATTCATATTACATGTTTTGTTTTAAATATATTTTAAGTTCATGCAAAAATGAGATTGACATAGTTTTCTACAGCAAATTGCTTCTTGATTGATGATGAATGTTCTGTATATTTTCCTAATATTTATTATCTTACGAAATTTGTTAATTTGTTCAAGTTCATGTACTGGGGATGCAAGGCAAATCTAAAATTTACAACAATTTTGTAATATTAAGGAATTTAACAATGAAATAATTGATATGAAATGATCTAAAAAGTTTCGTTAACGGTTAGTTAAAACTGTTAAAAAGTAAAATTTAAAGTAGCCCTTAACTTTAAACTTCAAATTAGTTCATCTGTTTGTTAACGCCATTTACCCTTTTTTTGTGAAATTAGCCTTAATAAATGACTTGAATTTTATTAATGGCATTAACGGTTAAAGAAATCGTTAATTGCGTGAATGGCAAAAGAAATGGCGTGAAAGGTTTTAAACGCTTTACATTGAAAATTTCGTTAACGATTTCATTAAAATTTAAGAAATCGTGAACGGTTTTTAAAAATACAAGACTACATTTAAAACTTTTTAAAGATGTTAAATTTCTTTTACAAGATGAATGCAATTTAAAATCCCGTTTTTTTAGCGTTAATTTTTTAAAGAGCTAATCTGTTCTTTTAACGTTAAGTTATAAATTTGTTCAATAAAATCTTAAAACAGTAAAACTTTTTGTTAAACCCAGAGATGAAATTTCGACACAGGTTTCTATTTATATCAGATAGGTTTATTTTTTTGTTAGTTAATTTTATTTGTTTCTCTCTGTTGAGATTTAAACCATTTAAAAGGAAAAATTAAAGCATCTTTTTTTTGTGATCATCATATTTGAAGAGTTTCCAGTATAAATATTTTTAATTGTCCAATGAAAATAATTTAAGCAATTTCAACTTCAAAAAACTTAAATTAAAGCTGCTAGAAAAGTATTGAACGTTTATTCTTGGATGGTTTCTTTAATTGCGCCAATTTCTAGCCATGCTGAGCCAGTTCAGCAGTTCTCAGCAGTGACGTTCAAGATGTGCTTTTCCAGCAAACTGTCCTATATACAAATTGAATCCGGATTTCTTTTATTTTTAAGATTGAAAAAAAATAATTTGAATGACTATAATGTAATCTTCCTTTTTAACATTTGTTTAAGGGACCCAACTTAGATCAGGAAATAACAAAATACTTAAATCTATATCAATATTTAGGGCCAGATTGATAATTAATAATTGATGTTGTTTCTAGTATCCAAGTTTATTAATGGATTTCCAATATATCTGAATCAAACAATGAAAATATGAACTCCTAGTCGGATATCTGAATCCCATTAGTGGAATAAAAAACACCCAGAAAATAAATCTATCCCTCCAATGAATTATAAAGCCTCTGGATGGATATCTGAATCCCTCTAGTGGAATTATGAACCCCAAGGAAAATATGCGAGTCCCTACAGAGGAATTATACCCACTGGAAAGATAAATGAAACCCTTCAGTGTAATTTAAAACCCCCTGGATAGATATCTGAATCTCTCCAGTGAAATTTTAAACCCCTTAGATATATATATCTGAATTCCTTCAATTGAATTATAAACCCCCAGGAAGGATATCTGAATCCCTCCAGTGGAATTATAAACCCCTAGGAAAAATATCTGAATCTCTCCAGTGGAATTATAAACCCCTAGGAAAGATATCTGAATCCCTCCAGTGGAATTATAAACCCCTAGCGAAGATATCTGAATCCCTCCTGTGGAATTATAAAACCCTAGCAAAGATATCTGAATCCCTCCAGTGGAATTATAAACCCCCAGGAAGGATATCTGAATCCCTCCAGTGGAAATATTAACCCCCAGGAAGGATGTCTGAATCCCTCCAGTGGAGTTATAAACCCCCAGGAAGGATATCTGAATCCCTCCAGTGGAAATATTAACCCCCAGGAAGGATATCTGAATCCCTCCAGTGGAATTATAAACCCCTAGGAAAGATATCTGAATCCCTCCAGTGGAATTATAAACCCCTTGGAAGGATAACTGAATCCCTCCAGTAGAATTATAAACCCCCAGGAAGGATATCTGAATTACTCCAAGGGAGTTATAAACCCCTAGGAAGGATATCTGAATTCCTCCAGTGGAATTATAAACCCCTAGGAAGGATATCTAAATCTCTCCAGTGGAGTTATAAACCCCTAGGAAAGATATCTGAATCCCTCCAGTGGAATAATATACCCCTTGGAAGGATAACTGAATCCCTCCAGTGGAATTATAAACCCCCAGGAAGGATATCTGAATCCCTCCAGTGGAATTATAAACCCCCAGGAAAGATATCTGAATCCCTCCAGTGGAATCATAAACCCCTTGGAAGGATAACTGAATCCCTCCAGTGGAATTTTAAACTCCTAGGAAGGATAGCTGAATCCCTCCAGTGGAATTATTAACCCCCAGGAAGGATATCTGAATCCCTCCAGTTGAATTATAAACTCCTAGGAAGGATAGCTGAATCCCTCCAGTGTAATTATAACCCCCCAGGAAGGACATCTGAATCCCTCCAGTGGAATTATAAACCCCCAGGAAGGATATCTGAATCCCTCCAGTGGAATTATAAACCCCTTGGAAGGATATCTGAATCCCTCCAGCGGAATTATAAACCCCCAGAAAGGACATCTGAATCCCTCCAGTGGAATTACAAACCCCTAGGAAGGATAACTGAATCCCTCCAGTGGAATTATAAACCCCCAGGAGGATATCTGGATCCCTCCAGTAAATTATAAACCCTTTGGAAGGATGTCTGAATCCCTCCAGTGGAGTTATAAATCCCCAGGAAGGATATCTGAATTACTCCAGTGGAGTTATAACCCCCTAGGAAGGATAACTGAATCCCTCCAGTGGAATTATAAACCCCCAGGAAGGATATCTGAATCCCTCCAGTGGAATTATAAACCCCCAGGAAGGATATCTGAATCCCTCCAGTGGAATTATAAACCCCTAGGAAGGATATCTGAATCCCTCCAGTGGAATTATAAACCCCGAGGAAGGATATCTGAATCCCTCCAGTGGAATTATAAACCCCTAGGAAGGATATCTGAATCCCTCCAGTGGAGTTATAAACCCCTAGGAAAGATATCTGAATGCCTCCAGTGGAATAATATACCCCTTGGAAGGATAACTGAATCCCTCCAGTGGAATTATTAACCCCCAGGAAGGATATCCGAATCCCTCCAGTGGAATCATAAACCCCTTGGAAGGATAACTAAATCCCTCCAGTGGAATTTTAAACTCCTAGGAAGGATAACTGAATCCCTCCAGTGGAATTATAAACCCCAAGGAAGGATAGCTGAATCCCTCCAGTGGAATTATTAACCCCCAGGAAGGATAACTGAATCCCTCCAGTGGAATTATTAACCCCAAGGAAGGATATCTGAATCCCTCCATTGGAATTTTAAACTCCTAGGAAGGATAACTGAATCCCTCCAGTGGAATTATAAACCCCCAGGAAGGATATCTGAATCCCTCCAGTGGAATTATAAACCCCTTGACAGTGGAATTAAAACCCCCCAGGAAGGACATCTGAATCCCTCCAGTGAAATGTAAATCACCCTGCGTAAAGTTTTGAATTGTAAAAAGCATTTTTTCAAACCCCTCCAGTGAAAAAGAATTCCCTCCGGTGGACTCCAGTGGAGTCAAAATCTTACTACGAACTTCCGTGACTCGTGAAATGAACGAAAAAATGTTTTATCAAACTAAAATCTAAAACTTCACAATTTTGCACAATTACCTGAATTAGTACAAATAAACATATTTTAGTAAAAATAACAAAAAAATGTTCAATCGAACTAAAATTTGAAATATTAACATTTTGCCCATAAATTTTAATTAGTGCAATTGAACTTAGTTTAGAACAAATGTTCAATCGAACACAAGTCTAAAATTTCATCATTTTGCACATTTATCCTAATTAGTACGAATGAAAAAATTTAAGTGCAAATGAACAAAAAATGTTCAATCGAAATAAAATTTAAAATTTCACCATTTTGCCCATAAACTATAATTATTTAGGAAAAAATTATTAGTCCGTTTGAACAAATTTTTTGTTGGAAATGTTCATTTGCACTAGTGTCCAATTGCGCTAATATTTACAGAAAAAAAACATTAGTTCGTTTGAACAATTTTTTTGTTGGAAATGTTTTATAGCTAATAAGCTATTTAGTTTACCCCGAAATAATCAAAATAAGTGAATGGTCCTTATAAATTAGTTTTCAAACATTAAATTAAATTGTAGTATATAATAGTTAATTGTAAATATCTTTAGTTTTTTCAAAATTATTTTAAGATTGTCTATTTTCAAAATATAACTTTAATTTTGAACATTTGACGGTTTGATACGTTTTCCCTACTTCCCCAGGAATCCCTGTGATTTATTTAAGTATTGGAATCTAGGAACCAGTTTGTCCGAGAGAGAAAGTCGTCTTTGTATAAACGTGTTAATTTGTTTAATCATGTTTGAACACGAAAAACGTTAATTTCTTGCTAATTTTAAAATCCAAAAATAACTTTACATTTAATTTTATAATGGCTGACACATGATGTAATTGAAATACCGTGGTAGGCGATTATAGCAATAAAATGAAGACGACTTTTTATTTAAGTTTCAATTGATATCAAGCTTTTTTTTAATTACAGGTCTACAAGCAATTAAAGAGAAGCTTTATTACTTGATAGTTTCTCTTTGTTTCCACGTTTTTGTGTATCCATACTGTTTAAAAGCTTTATATAAATCAAAATTAAAATTGAAAGTCGCCATATGATAATTTAGATTTTATTGGGCTGTTGTTATTGTTGAATATTTAAATAGTGTCTATGCAAAGGTATTATACCCTTCCGCTAGAATTCTAAACAATAAATCGGCTTTTTCTCCAGTCATAGATATTTTTAAAAGAACAATACCATTTAATAGCAAATAGGCTAATTAGTTTACCATGAAAT